GCTCAGATCAATTGCCTAAGACGACGTCGTTTGGGGTTGAATGAGTGGCCTGATCGGGACCGTAAATTCGAATCAAATCAACGGCTCAGCACAGGGGCGCGGATACGGCGTCGTTTGGGACGTACCCGGGCAGCTCATGTTTGGACTGGACCTGTGTCCTGGTTTTGGGCCTGATTTTAATTCATTTTGGGCCCAAACCAACTTCATTACTCTTTTCTTTTTGTTTTTCTAAAAAAAATGAAATTAATACCATCATTAATTTAATTACTTAACCCAATTATCACACACATATCACAAACCAGCATAAAAGATGCATATATATTTTTGGATTTTCTTTTAGTGATTGAATTACTCATGACATACATATTTTGCATTCGTTTTGGTAAGATTAAACGAAAAAATGGACACAACCAACAAATGACTGCCAACACGTGTCACGCAAAAATCGAAAAATTTTATAGTGAAGCCATTTGCCATTATTTTCATTTCTTTTTGGAGTGATTGTCCGCGAAGCAAAAATCACGTGCTTACATCGCACAAGATTGGAATGCAAATGCTTAAAGATGTGAATTGATGCTCTCATCAGGGGGAGTTAATGCGCGTTGCACTCTTTTTCCCTTACAAGGTTTTGTCCCACTGGATTTTCCTTGAAAGGTTTTTAACGAGGCAACCAAAAGGTGTATTGTTAGATATGTGTACTCTTTTTCCTTCTCTAGAATTTTTTTCCACTTGGTTTTATTTTAGTTAAGGTTTTAACGAGGCACATTATCTGTTGAATAGATATTCAAGGGGGAGTGTTATAAATAGAATTTTATTTATGGTGAATGTCCATATTTAGAGAGATTCTAGGGTTTATTACTTGGTGGCTAAGTCACTCTCTCCCTATAAATAGAGGGTTCTATTCCATTGTAATTCATCCCAATATCAATAAGAATTCTCTCTCTACTTTGCTCTGCAATACTCTTCTTCTTCTTTTATTGTTTCATAACAATATCCTCTTTCTTATTAATCTTAATCATACATATAACATACGGTATTAGTACTCCCTCCGTTCACTTTTATTTGTCCAATATTCTAAAAATAGATTTTTATTTTTATTTATTATTTTTAGCATATCAAGAGAAGATAATTTCTTTTTTCATGTTATAAGATAATTTATTTTTCCTGCTATACCCACAATATCAATTACTCATTTCAAGTCATATTTTCAAATCCATTAAAATATGCATCAATTAATATGGGTATCGTGGTAAAATAAAGTTAGAGTCCTTTAATAAGATGTCGGTCATTATGTGTGACTATCTCCATTATAGAAAGAAAAAAAAGGAAAGAACAATATTTTTTGCATTTATACGAAAAACTCTTAATTATTATATTAACATAAGTAGTAAACATTTTAACTTTCTTAAGGGGTGTGCAAAATTCATAGTGAACAAGTAAAAATGATCGAAAGGAATATTTATTAACGTAATATGGGTCAAGTATCATAGTGGATACAAAAATCTTTACCTATCTTCAACTAACCAATATAATAAAATCCGTACTTCAAATTTCAATACTTAAAGACATTGAATTAAATGTCTGAGGATACAACTACAATTATAAGATAGCTCAGGGACCAATGTAAAATTATTCTAAAAATAATGGGTCGAGAAGTGGGACCAAGGGGTGGCAGCAGTAGGAACAAAGCATTAGATTCTGGTTCCTTATTTTCTCCGTTTAATCAAACCTTTGCGTATAACTCTCTTTGCAAATACCATTTTCTCTTTTCTTTCTCACACATCTTTCAGGTAACAGTTTTCTCACTCATTTTACTTTCCCAGAAAATGTTTTCTGTAGTATTCAACACCTAAACTTTTTTTTTCTCGCCATTTTCTTTACAGCTTTTACCCGAAACTTGTTTTATTTGGAGAAGAAAGTAGGTTTCTATTTATCTTCGAATTTTCTATTTGTAGTGTAGATCTCAAGTTTAGAGTTGTATGACTTGCATTTTACATTAAGTACACAACTACACATAATTAATATGCTTCATTTAGCTCATCCTCGTTTTTTGACCGTTCTCTCAAAACTTTAGTACTCCTATATTTTTGTGTATATGAGTCATGTTTACGATTTTCGTCTAAAAAATTTCATCATTAGTTTTGGTATATGGCTTTTTAATTTGTGAAAGATATTTCGGAGGAGATCTTGACGGTCAAGTCTTATATGATTAGCAGGTGTGGAAAGAAGAGTACAAGTGCCGTACAAATGGAGGTCATGCTTACCAACACTCTGCTAACGTGCGCTCTACCCACGCTTTTAGCCTCCGATCAGGTTAGTTACTACTCCAGCTAAATTAATTAGCAGTTCTACTTGTGTTTATTCCTTGCAATTTTAACCTGGAAAATGTTTTACATGCTAATATTATTATCTTACTTTACCATAATCTGGTGTGAATTGAAATAGAAAAACTTATTAATTAATGGTGGTTAAGTAATTACAAATTGTGTATATTCTCCGGTCAACTCTAATTGATTTTTTGACTTTTTTTTTTGTGTTATGCAATATTTGATTTTTTCCCGACATCAAGAAGGAATTAATTAACTTTTTTTTTTAAAGTTGTCATTGGAATAATAAGCCTACGAGTATTTGTTGCATTTCCAATGAACAAAGTAAGATTAATATGGTCAATTTTATTGTTAATTAATACTAAAAATGGATTTCTTAATATGTGACAAAATAGTCAAAAATCAATTAAACTGAACCGAAGAGAGCATAAAATAACAAAATATACATTTATCTGAACAGTGAATAAGTATTTCATGTGCTCTCTATCTCTCTGTTCTTTTTTATCGTACAATACAAGTAGAGGTGTTCATAAAAATCCGAAAAATCGAAAACCAAACCAAACCGACCAAAAAATCGATACTTTTTTGGTTTGGTTTGGTTTGGTTTTGGTTTTGAATTTTAAAGACCGATCAAATCTGATTTGGTTTTGATTTTAATCAGAAAAAATCGAACCAAATCGATTATAGGAGTAGCTATTTCAAATTTATTATTACACCTATATATATGTATATTATTATACAAAGTTTCAAAAAATTTATGTTAAATGTTAATAGTTTGCACTTTTAATATAGTTCTTTACCTTTACATTCTAGTTTGATTGGTAGTTTTCTTTTGTTTAGTGTAAGAATCCATTTCGTGTTAAAAATAACATATTTTTAGTTCAGTCCTTAAATTATTCATCACTATTTGATTCAATTATCATCAATATATTTTGGCAAATAATAGATTTCTCAAATGGCAATTGATTTGATAGTATTACATTGAAAATGTGGTCGCCGGAATATGTGTTTGGTAGTGTATGTCTTATATTTAAGAAAAAACCGACAAATAACCGGAAAAAAACGAAAAACCGACAAACCGAATCAAGAAAAACTAACTTAATTGGTTTGGTTTGGTTCTAATATTTAAAAAACCGACTTACTTAGTTTGGTTTCTTTTTAGGAAAAAACCGATCCAAACCAAACCATGAACACCACAAAATACAAGTATCTGAATGTTCATTGGTCGTGTGCTTCCAAAATATTTCATTTTGTGGAATTAGGAGGTTTTCTCTCTCAGAATCCAATGGTTTTGCTTTTTTTTTTCTTTTCTTTTTTGTTTTGGATTAACCCCTCAACAAAATAATTTAGCTGTAGAAATTTTATTCTCAATAAGTAAAATTTCAGAAACTAAGAAAAGGGTGCAACAACAATAATAACATACTTAGTATTATCTCATATTATGGAGTTTGGGAAGGATAGTATGTACGCAGATCTTATCTCGACCTTGTAAAGATAAAGAGGTTGTTTCCAATAGACCCGGCTCAGGAAAAACTAAGAAAAGGGTGCAAAATATCTAAAAGAGGAGTTATGGTGTAAGAAATAGTTTTTTTAAAAATATTATGAAGAAGTAGCATTTATTTTCTTGTACTCTTTTAATGTTGTGAAGTTAACGTGCGCCTATAGGGTACTGGTTGTCAGTGTCGGAACTGAAACAGAACGTTAATTTGGATTATATGGCATTTTGGGTTCCGGGTTAGTTGATGCAGAGCAGGGGCCCACTAAGAATTATATAGTCTGCCACTGGCCAATTATGTTAGTTTTGCAGAATAGATGCTGCAACTACTGCCCCTTCACAGTGGACTTTTAATGTACTAAATTGGTATATTTGGGGAATAATCAATTCTGGATGAGATTTTTGTAATCCTGGAAACGTCAACTGAGCTTTATTTTATTTTATTTTAAATAAAAAGAAACATGTTGATTAAAATGTTGTTTTCAAACGAATTGAAAAAACATGCTTTTTCTATGTTGACTCTTTCTTAAGAGAATATTATATCCGAATATGCTATCAAGATATGATTAATTTTATGTTTATAAATTTGACTGACCTCACATTAACTAGTACTAGTATTTCATACTTGGGCTGTAAATAGTACTCCGAGGTGGTCCACTCTGAACTGGACCAATGAGCTTAATGGACTTGGACAGAAATTGCCCCTTCTATTATAATAATGGGCCATAAAATTTTAGTAGTATGCATTTTGGGCTCATTTTATGTTGAAGAATTAAGGGAAGATTTCATAACTAGGCAATGTAAAAAATAATTTGCAGATCTTTAGTATTAAAATGAATATTCCAATTGTAGCCATGAAAAAATTACCATCTTAGCAACCTTGCTAGAAAAGGAACCCTCATTTTAAGCCTAAAATCTCGTCATAATAACCTTTTTTTATTTTCAATCCCTATAACAACATGATGCATCCATTCCGAAAATTCCTAAATATATGAAAGTTAATTAATGCTTACTATATCCATTGCATTAACTTATTCTTCTCTCTTCACAATCATTATTTCTTCCTTTTAGATAATCTTCACCATCTCGTCCAATACAACAGGAAAAGTTGGAAGAAAAAAAAACATAAAGGACTAGCTTTGCAGTAGCATAAATAATATAATATATAAATTAAATATACCAATTAGTATATATATTGTATAACTATGTATCTTCAAACCTAAAAAAAATACTGTTGCTTTAATTTATACAATAAATATAATATATATATACACGTTATATAACATTTCATTTTAAAACTAATCCACGAAATATACCTATTATATACATAGTATAATATTAAATTTTAAATATACAAAATACAATTTACAATGTATTTTATATATATATATATATATATATATGGATGAAATAATTATATTATATTAAAGGTATAACTTAGAGAAAAAATACAAGAAATTCCCACGATTGCTTCTTTTCAGTATCTTTAAGATATTTGGGTGAGTATTTATTTGTGGAAGTGAAAAAAAGATTATGGAATGTAGATTGATTTAGATTGTGTATGAGAGAATTATGAAAAAGAGATCCTCTTCCTCATAGCACATATTCGGAGTCAAAATGCAAAGAAAATGGTAAATTTAGATTAATGATGAGAGAGAATATTGTAATAAATTAATGTGGTTCAATCATCCCTTGAATTGTGCTTAAGTGTTTACGTTTAAGAAATTAAATGTCATGTAAAGAATCTTGAAAAATGCTTTAAGTGTAAATGAATGTGCTATTTTTAAAATAAAGTTAAAATAGTGCTACTTATATAAAAACTTTACAAAGGGACTAACGGTGTTAAAACCTCATGAATTTAACCAAAATAGCCGTCCACCTAATCTTTTAAACTAAAAATAACCAGTGGATTTATAATATATGTATAATTCATGTACAATATATTTATAACTGTGTATAATCTATGTACAATGGCTAGAAAAAGTAAACAGGAAACCTGACTGGCTATTTGTGTTATGTCATGAGATTGACAGGCAATCCATCCATTTCTCCACTATAGTATTCCTAGAATAGGCATGTAAGATGATGTCTTTAAGTAATTCCAGGATGTTATGCCGCTGGTGGCAATTGAGACCAAAGTCGAGGGAGATCAAAATACAAATGATGAGCACAAAGTAGTTGATGCTGCTGAGGAAGGTGGAGATGGAGACAACAATGTTGAGAATAGAAATGGTGGATTTGAGGATGGTGAAGAGCAATTTTCTGATGATGGGGTTCATGAAAACAATCCCAACAAAACCAATGGCGATGCCAAGAAAAGCAATGACGGAGAAGGTGAAGAAAATGGAGATGCAGAAGATGAAGATGGTGGTGGTGAAGGTCATGATGATGATGATGACGACGACAACAATGATGACGATGATGATAATGATGATGACGACGGCGGAGAAGGGCCAGATGAAGAAGAAGAAGAAGTTGTAGAGGAGGAGCCAGAAGATGATGAAGAAGAAGAGACGATCCAGCCCCCAAAGAAAAGGAAGAAGTGAACGAATGAGTTTAGTTTTAGCTTGAGAGGGAGAATTACTTAATGTGCCTTTCAATTACCTTTCGCTTTATGTTTTAGAGAACGTTGGAGCTTTTAATTGAGCAAACAAAATCTCCCTCCCTCAACTTAACTTGTTTTCCAGAGTACATATCTTAATCTCTTTCTTTCCTGGGCCTTCACTTTTGGTACCAAAATGTCTTAGAAAGTACAGTGCGGTGACCTATAAAACTTGCTGCAGGAAAGGAATAGCAGTTCAGTTTTGAGGTTTTAGCTTGTTTTGGAAATCTCCAGCTACCAGTCATAGAAGAGCTCCTTAGAGAATCAGGTTTTTAGCACCTGATGACAAACATATTTTGCGGCCCCCAGGCAGTGAAGGTTGGTGCGAGCTAAATAGAAAAGGATATATTTCACCTGCATATTTATCTTCCAATGGGTGTTTGCTTGGATGCAAAACCGTCACTCTTTCTAAAGCTGTATGAGAATAAGGTAATAGTCGTAAAATAAAGATACTGTGGTTTCCACAAATAAAGCTAAAACCACGTTCACGCTATTTACAATTTGTGAATGTTAAACTTAGTTTGACAACTTTACAAGTTTTTTCATCCACGAGATTGATGTAACTCAGAAGCATCCCTCCCTCCATCCTTGGATGTCTATGAAACAGCAAAAAAGAAAAAAGAAAAAAGAAAAAAAGGAAGTAAAGTTATTTTATTATTACATCTGAAGAGGCAAAGAAGAAAATTTTCAGTGTAAAACAACAGGTATCTAAATGCTTTAGACATGCATAACTATGACGATGACTCATGAGTCCAGCAGTTCTTATTTACTTAATACCCGTGATCAGTTATGAACTTCCTACGGTGCCACACAAAAGGTCATCACTAAGATGTCTTGTATGGAACAGTTTTACATCACAGACACATACACATATATTGCCACATCAAGACATTTTTTGCAGCTAAACGTGAACAAAGCACCAAGCCAATATGAAGGACCAGAAAATTGAGTTGCAAGATTGTAAACTCAGAAATGAAGCCTGGATTAGGTTTTGCTAGTTTGGTATATATGTATTAGCAAATCACACAAGAAAGAAGACCATTCACAAATTTGTAGTAAGAATCAATCACTGAAACAGAATTATATTTACCTCTAAATTTGAGAAAAATGAAAGAAACTCTATCAGAGATTTAACATGTATGTTATGTGAATGTGGCAAAGTAGCTCAGTTTACCTTCATGAGCAATGGCTATATTTACAATGAAGTAGCCATCCAAGAAGTGGCTCATTTCTTTGTTGCATCAATAAACATGGCCCGTGTCCAATGTTCAACATCTTCTGTTTGTGATGGAGGAGGAGGAAAAGGAGGGTGCTCAATAAGATCCCAACCTTCAATTAAATTTTCATTCCTTCCTACATCAGATACTTCAGTGGCATAAATCAAACTGGCATTAGAACTTGGAAGAGCATTGTCAAATGTATTTCTCTGCAAAGTTAAGAAAGAAGAGAAATTAAATGCATCAGCTTCATTGTAGTAATTACTTTCAAAATTTATTTACGAGAGAAAAACTATAAAAGCATAGTTGCAACACATTATTGGGCCCAGTAGCAAAGAGTTTCATATTATAATGCACAGTTATCATAGTCACCAAAACATAAACCATCCACTAGTAAACAAAGCTGATACATCCTCGGATCCACAGCAGCAATTCCAAAAGATTTTAAAGAGATTGTAGCTACAAGGTTTCTGGACTCTCTATTCTTTGCAGTTCTTACTAAATTATGTCCCCTAATAAATTTTTCTCATCAAGTTCTGAAAAATTATAAGAAAGCTTAAGAAAAAACAAAGGCCGTTAGTTGAAATCCAGGAGAGAATTATCTAGCGTACATAAAACACTTCTTCAGCTAACTCAATTTGTTACAAATTAGTACACGTAAAGCAAGAAAACTCCATAAAGATTTATAAAAATCGCCTAGGCATAATTGAGTTATGCCAGATCCTGCTTATCATAGATATCTCTTCATTGCCGCATTACTGAGTTCGTTGTTCCCTAACATAAGATCCTTTAATTTCGTTCAACAAACTACTGCATACATGTGAGAAAACCAAAAAAAATGTAGACGTCAATAGAAAAGGAGATGTGGTCAGTAAGAGTGGATAATGATGCATTTTACCCCTCACAAAAACTAGGCAATGGCATAATGCTCAACACAAACAAATATCAAATACAGAAAAACTCAAGTCTTCTGCAGACATGAAACCAATACTAAAAACTATGCCTCCATACCAATACTGGCGCATGTTCACTCTATATATATTCATACAAATATTTTTAATGCCAATATATGTTATGCTGAACTGAATCCAAAGAAAGAAACTATACCAATACTGGCACATGTCCACTCTCCATCAAAGTGCTAGATGACCCGGCTGAATCTACGTTCCAAACAGATTTGTTCAGTTGTTGGACTTGCTTGGATGCCCTATATATTATAAAACCGAATCACTGAATACGGGTCACTGCTGGACAATCAGAGGTTTCAATGCCATGATAAGTAAATTTCTTTCATTACATAGTATTGAGCACAGATCTATAATTATGATACATAAATAATAAAATAAAGGAAATACGCACCTTGAACCAGACATTTTCAAAGAAAACACAGATCGAACTTCCTTTGAAGAAGAAAGTGTAGCCAACAATCTTGCAAATGTTTCGAAAGTAGAGGCTTCGGCAGGAACTTCTAAACATAATGTGTTGTAACAGTATGCAGTAATGCAGGCAACACTTTTCTTGAGAAGTGCTATGCCTTTCTGCAGATCCTTGTGTGATTCTATTGAGTGCAGGGAAGCAGAAGCGTAGTTGAAACTACTACTACTAGAAGAATCCAACCGAGGTTTTCTATCAGATTCCATTGAGGTAACTCCAAAGTCACTTGAACTTCCAGAATTGCTGCAACTTCTGTCGTACCATGAAGCTTCCCCACCTGACGAGCAAAAGTTTTGGCGTGGAATAAAAAGTGGGTACTCACCACTGCAATGCATGACTAACATCAGTGGGAAAGTTTTCATCTCTTTACAGTGGAAAAGGAACAATAAATTTCTACATTATAGTAAGAGAATACCTTCTAGATGACGGCCGGGCATCCCAGTAAGAATCTCGTTGCCATATTCGAGAACATGAACCCTAATGTAATGAACAAAGACACATGAGAAACTAAAAAAGATTGTTGTGCGTTCAAGATAAAATAAATATGTTATCCTTTGTCCATCTATGTACAGTGACTCTGGCAAAAAAGGCGACCTCATTCACTAAGGTCTGAAAGTTACTAGGAAATTATATTTTGCTATTCCCCTGGCTCTGGCATAAAATAAATTGCAATATTTCTCTAATTAAAGATTTTTGTACTAAGACAGCTCTGACCAGTTCCATTAATGTACTCTCAAGCATTTGAGGCTAAACTATCAAAACAATGATAGAAGGTTGTTTGAGCATACCGCAAATCCTGAATTATGAAGTGCAGGAGCACATATGCAACGAACAACAAGGTTCAAAAGTTGCACCATATATCTGCTTTCAACCATCGAAAATAAAATCATTAGAATATATTATTACTGGCCAAAATGGCTTTTGTACAAATAGACACGTAAATATCGTTGGATAATTATCTCAATCTACTCAGCATGTGGATCTGTATACGCAGTGTTTCATTTCAATGACATACTACATAACTCAATTTGCTCCAGTAAATACTAGAATATTCTCAAATACACCAGATAAATGGTATCGCTAGAAAAACGTAATGCACATGCATTTTCCATCTGGGTTTTGAAATGACTGGATTTATTCTGTACGCCTAAATCAGCAAGTAGCACTCTTGGCATATCTATAGCTAACTATTCATTTACTTGCAGACCACATAGTAACAAGCCCTTGGACCATAAGGGGATACAATCAGTATTCATCTTCCAGCAATCCTCTCCATAAAAGGATATCATGGGTTTTGCAATTTCTAGTTAATTTTTTGAGTTCTTGGGAAAGCCGTCTTCACTTCTTGTATAGCATAAAGCAACTTGAACCTTTACCAAAAGATCCTCAAATCCAGCCAAAAGACCTATCAACTATACTCCAATGCTTTGATAAACCCTTCTTATAATTTTATTGGCGTGGCCCAGATAAACCACCCTCACCTCCAACCCAAAAAGGCCCAAGTATACAAAGAAAATTTGAAAATATCACAGCATATTAAGAAGAATACCAAAACCTGAGAGTATGAAAAAATAAATATATAGGAGCCTGACTGTAGCATCCAAAGCATAATTGCTAGCCTCATAGGGCTTATTTCCTACCTATTTGAATGCAAAAAAGCATAGGTGGCTAATAATCCACTTTGGCAGAAAAGCCATGGCACTCCAACTCATAGAGGCCACAATTACTGGGCACTAATGTAAACATTATTCAAAGAAAACTGCGAAAGATAATAATTGAGCAAAAGAAAGGGAAACATCCAGATGAGATTATAAGAATAACAGAGCAAACTCATATTGTCACTTGAATAATGGCTCCGCAGATATCTAGACTCTTGAACGCCACACGCTATGTTCAGAAACTTAATGACTACACAGATGGAAAAGTGACTTATGTGATAAGCAAGCAAAAGAAATTACCCTAAAGAAGCACCCAGCTCATTAGATGGAACTGAATGAGGATCAAGTCCTCTTGGCAACCTTGCATTACAGATGCTATCATATTGGCCACTTAACGTGTCTTTTTTTTCTCCATCAACTATTACCTGCAACGCAAGATTTGTAAGAAACATAAATGTGCTCCAAGTAGATAGTCACCATAGAAAGAGGAAGTTCAAAGTCCAACGTCCTCTTTTCTTGGCCATCGTAAATACCAAACAGAAAAATTACAAAGCATACACAGTTCAGGTTTTCTTCCTGAATGACTTCACAGTTCCGCCCATATACTAACAACGATGACCCGATAGTAGATCAAGAACTGCCAACTCCAATTTCCGTTTTTCCTAAAACAATCATAACTTCTATATGACGGACATTTTAATTTATTTATTTTTTTAAAAATGAAACGGGGGAATTTATAAGGGCCAAAAAAGAAACAGACTGTAAAGCACTTATGGAACACGAACAGGCTAAGATTCATAATCTCAACA